CTATTTGGAATTTTTCTTTTCGATTTACCTCGATCGGAATGCTGTTTGATCAATTGAATAGCGTTTTTTATCAAGAGGATTATTATATCTATACCAATTAAATGATACGGGATATGATGATTGAACTTGACATTCCAAAATAATTCTACTACCACCATTTTCTGTTATATTTTTTAATGTTTTTATCCATTGCATATTTGTTGATATTAATAAATTTGATTCTCCAGTACTTAAGTACAAAAAAGAAAAAGAAAAGCAGATATATACAAAAATATATGATCGATAATCTAATTGCTTTAAGGAAAATAAAATAAAATTGAAAAAATCCATTTAAATATCATTAGATGAAACATTCTTTTTTTGTTTTTTCGTTTTCATCAAGGTAAATTCGATAAAGATCTTTTACTCATCAATCTTAGTTTATAAATATATATTTATGCATTTCTTTACTCTATTGATTAGGTAAGAAACCCTTGAGCATTTTCTTTTTACGTGATTGAACAAGCATTATGTTGTTTCCTTGTACTTATAAGACAAGAACATGCACGAGACAATTTCTATTCTTGATTGACGGATGTATGCAATATGCAATATTTCTCTCGTTTATCCGCTTGTCAGGCTTCTTATTCATATAGTCTCCGCCAAAGATCAACAATATACATGTATATATATAGATTGTATGTAATACCTTAAGATTACTGGAGTTGGTTGATTGACAATTGTGTTTGCTACATGTGCTTGACGTTGATTATTATTGTCGTTATTGATTGGTGACAGATCACAGAACGACAAAAATCCAATGATAAAAAAAAGAAGACAAGGAAAGCCTAAAGAATATATATACATATATTAGATAGGTGATAACTTTGTGTTATTCTTCCTGGATTATTGTTTTATAACATAGAGTGAGAAAAAAAAAAAAGTCAATGCATAATGTAGAAAAGGAAGCTGCAAATATGCACTTGGCACTCATGATTATAATGCCACACGCGAAATCAATCTGTTGTCTAAACATTGTGCTTGATCAACACATGTAAACATTCATATATGTTCTGCACTCTTCCCTCTCCAATACGCTACTAGTTCTCTTCTTTTTTTTTTTTTTACAAGTGTTTGGTAAGCAGCAGGGTACGCCTTGAGTAAATAGTATGATACGAGTATGTCAAGAGTTTTGTAGCTCTTGATATAAGAGGCAAACAAAAAAATCATTAGCGTTTTTCAATAGTTCGAATGATACATATTGAATAAGTACTCTCTTATGTTTTAATAGTAATAATAAAAATTTGTTAATCTGAATATTAGCAATAACTATTGAATAACAAAATAGTTCTTCTTTAAATAATCTATTCAGTTTCTTCTTACCCGACATTAGATATCTGTCCTTCGATTTGATAAGAAATAAGAGTAGAAAGTCAAACGATGTGCATATCTCCTCTTATAGAGAAGTATAATAATGATCAACTCGACTCTTCTCTCTCTCTCTCGCTTTTTTTTTCTCTCTCTTACTCGTATAAGATGAAGACATGAAAATGTCAAGGTTCTACTTTATTATGTATATATTTATATATGTTTCCTAATTGTTAAATGACTTACCAGATATATTCATGGACATTAGTGTTGAGTTGTTGTGACAAAAAATGGAAAACAGCAAAATGAAATTTTCAATTTACTGTAACTAAATGATTATCAACTGGAAACAATAATAATAATAATTCTCATCTATCTAAAAGAAGATAAAATTTTCTTTTTAATAAAAATCTAAATTATTAGTGTTTCTATTTATACACATGTGAAAGTCTATGCAATTCATGATGTGTCACATATAACTCTGCAAGATGCCGCACACACACAAGAGAGGAGAGAGAAATGAGAATGTGTGCATTATCGTCATTGCTCGTTGGCTATATGAGTTATTCTCTCGTTCTCTCTCTCTCTCGCTCGCTTTTTTTTCTCTATGTACAATTACTATATGTAAGGTCATCTTGTCAAACTGGCATGAAACAAAAAAGAAAAAGAAGGGACTATTTCAATTCATAGTATAGTCTAGTGTTTTATTAGCTTTCTTTTATTCATACAAATGAATTTATAAATCATTCGAATTTCTCTTTTTTTTTAATTTTCTTTTGTTTAAAACAAAAGCTAATATTTTTCAATAAAAAAAAAAAAAATTTGAATTATGCGAAAACACATAAACTATTCTCTCAAGAGGACAAAACGAAGTCATTTATAAAAATAATTTTATGATTATTTGATATATATATATAAAAGAGAATTGAATGAAATAAATGTGTATATGTTCATAATTATTAGTTAGTTTTTCTAATTGTCTGATCGTGATAGACACACACACACACACACACATATATATACATACGTTCGATATGTAGAGAAGACTGACGCCGGTTCACTTCTTTCTCTCTCTTATCTTTCACTAACATTTACACATATACACACATACACGTCTTCAATAGTATATTTATTATGGGAACATTATTAACACTTATCAAACTCAACTACTATAGCGGCAAAGTTTTGAACAATTGTCATATATTGAACATGATTGTGAGAATAATAAACTGTCTTCGATCTCTCAAGCGGCTCCATAAGAAAATAAATTGTACTTCAAAGAATAATGTATAAAAAAAAAAAAAAGAAGGAATTGACTTACACTAATTCTATGGTTTGTTGTTTTTTTTTCTAGTGACCTTCCTTTTCTATACCATATCTGCATAGTAAGTAGAAGGAGGGTAGACAATTTTGATCTAAGCCAGACGGTCAACTTAAACTTGTCAAACGTTCAGTGACTCTTACAATTGCCATATGAATACATGCATCAAGAAGAAAAAAAAAAAAAGTAATTCATTCTCATCGGACAGAACAAGTGTGCATATGTTGTTGATTTATTGTATTTTAACTCGTTATATGCATATAATAGTATGTCATCTTATAATTTATTTTCAACTACTATTATTACTTATTATTATCGTTACCTCTTTACCTGTAGATGTGATTTGATATTATTCATATAGATAAAAACAAAAGAAGAAAATAAGCTCATATAAAAACAACAAGAAAGAGAATTATAGTGAATTAAACGAATGTGTTATGTAGCATCTGGTCGTCGCTATGCATCGATTTCAATAATCGATTTTGTCTGCATCGTTCAAAACGATTGCATGATATGATATGATATATATATATATATATCAAATGGTACGACCTACACACCCTTGTATAGTGTCTCCGAATGATGATATGGTGTTGGTTGTGGTATCAAGTCTTACTTTTCTTTCTCTATTGTCTCTCTTCTTTATATATGTACGTGTGTATTATTATTGTTAGACGCAGAGACTATTCAATGATGCTTGAAGCATTTCTTTTCGTTCTCTTGATTGAAATGAAAAAGCTGTGAGAATCAGCTTTCTTTCTTTCCATATATATATGTACATATAATCCATTTTCACACATGTATTATCATATAAAAAATTTGTCATCAGCTTTAAAAAAAACAACAACAAAATTATTAATTTCTCTTTTTTTTTTCAACAACAATTTATTTCTCACATCGATATACTGTTAATTAAATAGAATATTGATGAATCGAACAACTATTATATAAGCGATGATAACACATTGATTTTTATCATGTATACTGGAACAAAAAAATTATATATATATATATATATATATATATATGGATGTATTGAACCATCTATATGTTATGTCTCTGGAGATAGGAATGGAAGGAATGAGAAAAAGTTGCTTAAATAAACGTTCTATTTGATTCATATTTTGTTTGTCTTATATGTATATTCATCACTGGTTCATTTATATATCGATAGATAATATGCAAGACAAAAACTTGTTCAATCATAGGGTGTGTCAGCAATCATCTTCGTCATTATGATTTGATCATCACACTATCGTCGTGATGTGGCTTGTCAGTAAGATGTTATTAAAATGTTCAATTCAAACAACTCATCAATCGTATTGATCAATCTCTATTTTTTTCTTTTCTTTTGTTTTTCTTTTTTAATGTTAGTTTATTCTTGACAGGTGACTATTTTTCTTCATCGATGAACTTATCTTAACATATATATTTCAAAAAAAAACTTTTCTTTTTTTTGTTTCATCATGTTTATTTGATCTGAAATATAAAAGAAAAACATTATACGAAAAAAAAAAAAGCGTTTTCCTCTTGTTTGCCCTCGAGGTTTAAATATTAGTCTTATCGTCGTTCAAAATAAGGCAACAGATGGTCAGCTTGCGAAAGTGATGACGATGATGATGATGATGATGACTTAGTCTCTTTGCAACAGACGACCGACAAGTTAAGTACTCATGTCTCTTTGTTTCTTGTCATTTCGATAGACAGCTACATATAAAGGCCATCTTCAAATAATACATGTTCATGAACATTGAACATCTACTAATTCAATCATTTAATAAAATTTGAAAATCGTTATTGCTTAACAATTATTATCACTCTGATTCTTTTAAACTTTTTTTTCTAGTGTTTTGACAGATGATAAAGTCTATATGATCATATGGATAGATGAGTTCGTTGCTCATTTACCACCTGCTGAGCAACAATAGTCCAGACATGAATAAAGAAAAGTACACACTAATCAGAATATTCTAGTTAATGTGATTATATGATAATTTACAAATGCATGTATTGATAATCCTGAAGCAATAACAACAAGAAAAACAAAAAGAAAGAAAATTTTCGAGAATGTTTTATTTAAGAAAAAGATTATATCTAATATAAATATGCACGAAAGAAAAAAAATTTTTTCAGAAAAAATTCTTTACCGTCTTTTAGCGATATCATTTGTTGGCGTTTTCCTATTGATGGATAGAATTTAGAAATTCTACAAAAAAGAAAGAAAGAAATTCATCAATGTGTCGAGCCGTAGAGGCAAAGAGTCATTGAGTACTATTATTTTTTCTTTGTAGTATAATATAAATAATCGACTGTGTATTTATTATTTTTTCTTATGATGTCTGAAGAAACAATTTTACTTGAAGCTTTATCATCATCAGATTTCAAAACATCGATTCATGACAAGAAACAAATAGATGTAAAAGAAACTAAAACTGTTATTGAAACCAAACAACAATTGGGTGAAACAATAAATCCAGATGTATTGGAAAATAAAAATGATAATAATGAATCACTTTTATCTTTAGTAAAACGTATGTCAACAGAACAACGTAAAAAGGTGATTGAATCACTCAAACAAAATGGTTTAACCAATCCATTAACCAAAGAAAAAATTATTCAAAATGCTTTTACTGTCGAAAAAGTTATTCGAGACAATGTTTAAAATTGTTTTATTTTCTTTTTTGAATATTTTATACTAATAATAATAATAATAAACCAGCATAGATAATTATTAATAATAATTTCTACATTTGATATTGAATTTTCAATTTGATAAGATTGAATAAAAGATTGTGTATCTCATCACCGAATTCGTTTTGATCATCTATGTTCATGAGGTTCGTTTCGACAATCATTCCGTATATTCACTCTTTCTGAATATTTATCATATATATATATATACTACAGGTATCACCTGAATAGATTGCCAAAATATAAATTATCGAATTTCAATGAAGAGTATCTGACTCAATAAAATACTTTCGAAAAAATTCAAATCATATCGTAACTTTATTTAAAATATTTAGATACTGCAAATCATAGATCAGAATATGATCTTTTAAGAATTATGAATCAATTGGATGAAATAATATTGTATGGATGCTTACGGCCATACCACGTTGAATACACCAGTTCTCGTCCGATCACTGAAGTTAAGCAACGTCGGGCTCGGTTAGTACTTGGATGGGTGACCGCCTGGGAATACCGAGTGTCGTAAGCTTTTTACTATTTTTGTATTATTATGGTTAATTAAAGTTTGAAATAGCATAGTTTTTTTTTTCGAACGTTTTATCTACAATACATTAATAACTAGTCCATTTTCTAATCAAGATTCAATAAGCATATGACGTCTATTTTTTTTTAAAAGTCATTATTATTGATTCAACACTTGAATAAATTTGATTTTATTTGTTTTATTCAAATTGATCAAATTATTGAAAACAATACAATTTGTATGACTTCTACTTTATCATGAAAAATTCAGAATAGTAAATTACGTCAATCAACGAATAAATTTACTTGATGAGATTCCATTTGATTTTAATATTGTTCAATCATACATATTGACTCACACTTTTCTTAAGTTCATCATCAAATCTAACTGTTGAATATTCTCAATGGATAAGCAATAACTTGAGCAAGATTTAATATTAAATCGAGTCCTAGTATTCGTATAATTCTACTAAATAATCAAAACTAAAACGATAAATACCTTAATCACTGAGTTGATAGGAAAAAAAAAGCAACAACAAAGATTCATCGATATGATGATTATTTGATTAGATCACACATTCACAAGTCTTTGTTATTGACTACAGAAGAAGAAAAACAAGGTTGACAAGACATTGTTCTAGCAAAACAAAATATAATAGATAATAAACCTGTATACGATTGCATAAAAATACATAGACTATTTATGGAACAAGAGAACAGAAATGTTTTTAAAAATGTCAACTAGAAATGAATCGTTCAGAATTATCTCCATATTCTCAATTTAAATAAAATGTAATATAAAAGAAAATGATTCATCTCGATTAATAATCGAATTCATTATTAATTTTATTATAACAAGGAAATTTATCAAATATATATTTTATTGATCAGTTGATATTGTTTCAAAATATCTGGAGATTGTCTTTGTATCTGAATATTATCAGTATGTAAATAAAATAAATCATATTGATAGATTGAACACGTTTCTGAATATGAATGAATCAATGATAAATACATTGAAATTACTTTTCGTTCTAGTTCAATAAAAAGCACTTAAATCATTAAGTTGAAAATTTTCATCACTAATTATAGTTAATAGAAGAATGATTGAATTGTTTTACGTGTGATGAATTGAATTCACTGAATTACAAGATAATGAAAATGCATTTGATGAACAACAAGAATGATTCTGTACAATAAGAATTATATACTGAAGCTGTTAAATATAAAGAAAAAGATATAAAATCTTAATTGGCTCAGTGAAGTAAAAAAGAAATAAAGTACAAGCATTTTTTGTACAATAGAAAAATTCAACGAAATTTGTAAGACTTATCGTTCAGCGTTAATTGTAATTTTACGGACTCGAAAGTTCCGAATTTATTTTCTGGTATAGTTATGCGTAAAACGTTATAATTAATGTCGAATAGTAAACTATATAGATATCGACAACTGCTTATGGAAAAAAACTGTATGCCTTGTTAAGTTTGTCTTTCAATGTTTTCAATTGCTTTTATAAAACATCATTATCAGGTCATATTTAATATTGATCTTTCTGTGTTTTGATACATTGGTTTAAAGTTATAAGTAATCATAAGAATTATTGTCCATGTTGATAGTGAGAATTTAAGCTATAATACTAGATGACATATATATAATTATTAATATATTAAATTACTAAGATTGATCTTCATTAATGGAATCAAGACATCGCGTCATAAACACACTGGTAGATTTTGATAGAAATTTTAGAAAAAGTTTCATCTGAATTCTTTATAAAGTCTAAATTATTTGGCAATTCATTTATATCATCAGCTACATTTTAGGTAAAGTACGAAACAAAAAATCATTATTTTGTCTAAATTGATTGAATACATGAGATTTTATTTACTTACTAGAAATCTTGAAATAGAATGGTTTATCATATTTCGTAATGAAACATTTGATATTAATTGCTTTCTTGTACTTTTTATTATTATTGATATTTCCGAAGGTATCATACACATTGACACATTATGTATGGAAGTAGAAAATGTATCCTCGTCAAATTTTAATTGATTTATATTTGTTGATGATCTCGTTGGTTATAAATAGATATGTGTTCATGTTGTTTATTATCTATATTCATTGAAATAATATCAGTTGATTTCAGGGGCGGCGGAACGTTTCAAAATCAAGTGAGGCTCATTGGATGTTTTTTCGTTATTCTAAGCAAACTTACATATTACTCTAACATATAACTAAATGAAGTTTCGGATGTTATTACTGTTTCAGACTATTTAAGATCTGTTGTGGTTCTAAAGAGTACTGCACTATTTCATTGGTTTTTAATAGAAGAACTTTTAAGTTTTTACAAAACTAGAAAAGTTTCAAAAAGTAGAAGAATCATTTATTTCATACTCAAATTATAACATCAATTCAGGAAAAAGCTTATCTTTTCTTAATCGACAATGTGAACATTGTTGCTATTTGAGCTCGTTCAATTTGATCAAATTTGTCATTATAGATATGTAACGATAAATAAATTCATAACTCTTAGTTAAGAGACTCGTATGTAATACCGGCTTGACTTTTATACAGACTATAACTTTTACAATCTTCTATCTTTCTTATGTCACAGAATATTTTCTTTGCCCATTATGCTTTTAGTATTACATCATAATTACATAGTGTCACTGTATATATGTATCGAGTGGAAAACAAAGAATTTTGAATACAAGTGTCTATAAAAATCTGTAGGTTCTCTATACCTCAAACCTCTGAAAGATATGTAAAACCAAATGAAATCCCGTTAGTCCGAGTAGAATTCTAAAACAAATTCTACCCCTGAAAGTTGCTATTACTGTTGATATTCTAGTATTATAAAAGACCAGATGCTAAATTTTATTAGATCTATTTTACGAGATGAAACTATCGAGATAATACGAGCAATTCCAGAAAAATGTCGACAATTTCACTCAATTTCTCTAGAATTGAATTTCATGGTGTTGGTTCGAGCCCAACACAATTCGCTATTTTGCTTTGGGTTTTATACCCAATTCGAAGTTTTTACGAGCAAACTCAAATTTTTAGTCATCATTGCAAAAAACTCTATAACCAAAGCGTTAAGTCGCAGTTGATTTATAGAAGCTCGAAACGTATTTTTCAATCGATTTGATCGTTTTAAATACTTATTAGACAATTACTGTAAAGGGTGAAGATGTCTAATCATTTGTTTTTTGCTGTAAAATATTTAAGAACCAATCTAGCAAATCGGTTCGGTGACATTTGATGGTTATAACGTAAAATGTGCACATTGATATTTTACTCGAAAGAAAATATTTTTTTCTGATAAAATCTGCATTATCATGAAACAATATTTTGAACCTAATGGATACTACCGTAATATTTTACCATCCGAGTGGATTCATGATGATAAATTTGTTCATAAGATACGAGAGATAGAAATCCAGACGAGCCTAAATATCAATTGTTTCATAATTAATTATATTTATTTAATACTTTTGTCATAGTTTTAATTTGTAGAGCAATATTTTCACTCAACAAAATGGAGTGTATGATTATATCATAAACGAAAAGACAGATGCTCAGATACAGATGCATTGTGTTCGAAGCACACCATTTTATGATCGATGTATTTTACATACAACTTTATGTGAATAAAATAAAAGATACCATTGAAAATTATGATGACAGATATTGAACTTTGTTATCATCTCAATTTTTCAGTTGTCTTGATCTCAATAGATAGATAAAGATCTAAAAATTTTGACTTTCTGCACTACAATAAGTTTCGCTCATCAAAAGAACACCAGATTCGAATGCAACTATACCTTAGATCCGTAATTCAGATGAGGCTGAGCCTACAGGATTCGAATTTAGGTGAGGTTCAAGCCTCATCTAGCCTGTACGTTCCACCGCCTATAGTTCTAGCTACGGACAAGGCGACCAATAATGCCATCAAAACCCATACCCTCACTCATACCAACAGCCTCAGTCTATTCAATTATCTTTGCTTTCTCTTGGAAAAATAGAAAGCTCGTCGTCAGCAAACGAAAAAATGAGAGAAAAACAGTGCTATGCATTCTAATTTCTGTTTTACAAGGATTTTTTCAAGAACTCATTTTTCTTTCGTAATATGTTAGCACATATGTTGGTTTCTACATCAACAACCTATTCGATATAATAGATCACAAGAACCATCACGTTCAAAGATTAATAATCGATATTCAATTCATCAAACATCTTTTTCAACAGTCATATAGAAGTATTTTCTCGTCATCAAAATGCACATGAATTTCCTTCAAAGTCTGGTTGATACTACGACCAACAAGACATTTACAGTCGAAATTTCGTTGATTGGAGACAACAACAGAAAAACTGATCTCCGTCATTTTCAACACCATATACTAATATTCATTTGTCTCATCAGTAAAAAAAGGTTCACCAAGAAATGATACTTTTCGCAGTCAACAATAGTAGCCAAAATGGCCAACTCTATCATAAAAATAATCATGCATCAAGACATAATCATAACAGACAAAAAACATAAAAAAAGATATGTGTTAGTACGTATTCTCCTTTATTGGATTCTATATTTCTTCTACAAAAATCAATAACAAATAGAAAAACATCATGTTTTTTTATTTAACCAATAGGTAATAGATTCATTAATGAAAATTCCGGTGTACCTGGATCCGGTCCAAGTTTAAAGCCCAAATAAATAACAAACGGAACAAAACCAAAATAAATTGCATACGGAGTATAACCGAGCACTGATTGAAGACGTCGTTGTATATCATCTGTTGTCTTTTTGCCTGTTCGAGATGATACAGACAACATTTTTCACTGTAATCTACAAAATACAATCGACTTTGAAAAACCTATAACATTTTATATTTTACTTTTATTAGTCATATAAAAGTTGTTTGTTTCTGATTTCTTTTTCTTGCTCATCTATGAACTCAAAATCTAAATATCTTTTTTTTTCCATTATTTATCTACCTAATTGGCATAATTCAAATCATGAAAAATAAAAATCTAATAAACTCTCATTCTTTTTTGGATTCTCTTGATTTTTATTCCAACAAAAAAAGAAAAAGAAAAAAGAAATAGGTAGTAATAGTTCAGCACAACAAAAAAAAAGTACGAATTAAAAAACGACAACAATCAATCATGGATCATCAAGCGAGAGACTAAAGAAAAACCAACGAATGTGTGTAATATAAAAAAAAAAAAAAAGAAAATAAGACAAGAAGAAAAAAAAGAAGAAGAGAAGTATAAGAAAGGTTCCACAAACATACACACATATAAACGTTTAGTTAATAGAAGAAGATCTGCGCGCCAGATTGCCTGTTTTATTTGAAGGTACAAAATATGTAGAGAGCATCTACACCGGAAAGCTGTGCTCTTTCGCAAATGATGTTTCTCTTGTTTTTTTTTTTTCACGGCCTGAAAACGATGATAATGATGATACAATAAAAAATAAATAAACAAAAAATATAATCGAATATCAAAAGAGCAAAAAAAAGAATAAAGAAAAAGAATGTGTTGATGACGAACAGGTTAAACAAATGGCAACAACAACCAACAACAATAACAACAACGAGAATGCTGCCCACCAAATAGAAATGACAAAACAAAAAGCTGAGATGAATCAAGAGCGAGAAAAATCATACAAAATAAAACTTTTGTACAAAATAAATGGAAACACAGAGAAAGAAATAAGAATAAGCATAGAACAAACAAACAAACAAACAAAAAAAATCATTAAGTGATTTTTTTTTTCATAATATTTTTTTTTTCTTCATAGAGAAAACAAAAGCCCAAGGTATCATCATTCACCCGGCACACAAGCACAAACAATCATCAAATCTATATGAAATAATCTTTCAGAAAAACGAAAAGCCACCATACACATCATATTCGACTTGTTAGTCTCAATATATATGTAGAAAGATTGCACAAAACAAAAACAAAAAAACAAAAAACAAAAGAGTAAATATACGCTATGTGTTTTTTTTTAAAGTAATTATCAGAAAAAGAAAGAAAAAAAGTGTACGAGATCATCCAACAACTTATCCCCCACAATGAAAGAGATGAAATAAAAGACTAACAACATTTATATCCAAAAAATGCGCTAAGTCTTACGGAAACAAAAACAAAAAGAAAACATAAGCGCAAATGTTCACAAGAAGAAGAAAAGAAAACAAAAAAAAAAAAGGAATTTACACAAAAAACAGGAGTAGAAAAATGATGTGATACAACATAGGAAAATAAACAAAGCAAACAGAGAGAGAGAGAGAGAAAGAAAAAACAACAATTATAATAATCAAATAACAACATTGACAAAAAAAAAAAATGTGGTTATAGAATTTTAAAGAAAAAAAATTTTTTTTTTTCTATTTACCAACGAAATGGTAATGTACGTGGACGATCAGCGCCTTCTTTTACCAATGGTTTATGATATTCACGACCTGCACGTGCATGAATTGATGCCCAACATGTTTCACAATAATATTGTAAACATGTTACATTTGCACAAAAAAATGGAGCAAATTTTCCACCACAACGTGCACCAGCACATTCATCACATAATTGATCATCGAGAACATATGGTTTAACTTCAACCTAAATAAATCATTTTTTTTTTGAATTATCTACATTTTTTCCTTACACAAAATATACTTCCGATAGAAGTTTTAATACTGTGGGATGAAACACTATACAGCAATCGGTTGCGAATATGCTTTATTTTTTGTATCGTGACAATTTAAAAATTGAAGAGTCGTACGATTTTCATTCAAACGGTATTATACAAAATTTCATATTTATATATGATTGATATTTTTTTTTTTTTGTGATACGACGTTCCATTCGTTTTCAACTCCAACGGATGAAGCTTATTGTTGCAAAGATAATTTACTTCTACGATATTTTTTATATGAATGTCGTGGTCTTCTCTTAGGAAATCTGATTTTCGAATTTCGACTTGAAAACTTGTATAGAGACAGACCTGCTTGAGAGTAATTTATTGTGAAACAATTCAAAAATCAATTTTTCTGAAACCACAACATTCATTAAAAATATCGTAGAAGTACAGTATCTCTGCAATAATGAGCTAAGGATGCGAACTCTTTTCAGGATATTCATGGCTCATTTGAGTTTAGATAATCTCGAGTCAAAAATAATCTAATTCATCCAGCGTTTTATTTTATATATTAATCTATACAGTTATTATATTGTATCTTCTCTTTCTAGATAACTTCTCAATGATTCAATGTTCAACAAACAATAAATTTTCATTTAGTATGTAAAACAAAACAAAAAACCAGTGATTAGAACGAAAGAAGAAATCTTGCAAAAAAAAAAAAAAAAGAAAGAAACATACTCGTTTATCAATATCTCCATGTTGTAATTGTACAAAACGAGCTGATATTGCAGCAATATAACTTTGTTGATTTGAAAAAGCAACACGACCTGCACCTTTTGGATATTTTAATTCCGGATCAGTATCAATACCAGCATAACAAACACCACCATATAATCGATCCATAATCATAGCTAATTCAACTAGAAAAATTAAAAAAAAAATAATAACAATAATAATAATTAATTAAAATTAAATTACCTGCACGTAATGGTCGAGGTACACCACCAACAAAAATTGTTTTTCTTGGATCAAGTGGTTGTGAACCATCCATAACAAAATCCGAATCAGCTAAAAGCCATGGTCGTATTTGCACAGCTTTATCTTTCATACTTGGACTTGATACACACATATAAAGTTTAGAATCATCAATAACACATTCATCAATTAATTCTTGTACAGAACGTTCATATGTAAATATTAAAAAAGCATAACCTTTCGGTGGAAAATAAGATTTGCTTTCTTGTTTATGTGGCCAATCAACAATTAATGGACCAAATCGTTGAAAATGTGCTATAATTTCCTCTATTTAAAACAAAATAAATAAAATTAAGAAATAAAATAAATAAATTTTACCTTCATCAATATCCGGTGGTAAACCACCAACAAAAACTTTACGTGAAAAACGTTCTTCTTTATTCATATCGATTGGTATTGCACGTGGTGAACCAAATAAACCAATTGATGATGATGGACCACCAGCTGATATTAAACTTTCTGTATCAAGTATACTACCCATACCACTATCATCACTATAAACACGTTTAACTCCATCGGATGAAACATTTCGCATCATATCCATTATTTGTTGTAATGAACTCATATCATATGCATCATTAGACTTTAAAAAAAAAAAGAAAATTTTGTTTTAATATTAAAAAAAAAACAAGTTTTTCTTACATTCATTGATGGAAAATTTGGTTCCATATCATTTCCATTAATAATATGTGGTGGTGGTGGTGGTGGTGATTGTTTATTTTGTGTTTGTATAAAATTTGTCATAGCAGGTGTGCGTTGATGTGTATTTGATAATGATGAAACTAATGGTGTTTGAATATTATTATGATTATTATTATATTTATTTTGATTTGTGGTTGATTGAAGAAATGGAAAAAAATTATTTTGTGATGATGAAATTTTTTTTGTTTGTGATATTGGAAGATTTCCATTACCAAGTATTAATGTTTGATTTAAATTATTATTTATTGTATTACTATTACCCATTGGATTTGTTAATGATGGAACAGGACGACGAGATCTAGGAGAATGAAAACAAAAATTACAAAAATTTTTTTTTTTTTTTTTTTTCAAAAAAATTTTACGATGTAGCTGGAAATCCATGTGGAATAGATGTAGTATTCCATGATGGTGATGGTGGTTGTTGTTGTTGTATATGTGGTGGTGGCATTGATAAAGTTGTTTGTGAACCAATAAGTGGAGATTGACTGTTCCATAATGGAGATGGAATTGCTGTACGTCCATTTATTGGAGGTGCTGTTTGAGTTGGAGGAATTGAAATACCATTACGAATTGTTTGTGTTGAAAAATTATGTGATGCTGTTATTGGTCTCCTTTGTATTGCCTTAAATAAAAAATTCAAATTATAGTAAAAAAAAATATATATATATATTAGATATTACTTGTTGATAAGAAACTTGTTGTTGTTGTTGTTGCATGGCCATAAGTGGTGGTGGTGGTGTCGTTTGTGGTGAAAACATTCGACCACTATTGTGTACATCAAATGGATGATCACCGGAGGCACCACTCAATGGATCAATAACATTACTCCATGATGAACCTTGATATGTATTTTGAAGATCAGAAAGTACACCGTTATGATAATTCGTTGATGTTAATTTTCCATCATTAAGAATTCCATTAACATTGTTATTTAATTGTTGTTGTTGTTGTTGATGATGATGATGATGATCATTACCATTAACTGTTATTGGTGATGATGATGTTGGAGTTGTTGATGTACTATTGCTTGTATTAGCATTAAGTATAAGTTTTGAAGTCGAGCTTTCGGTACTCATTGGAGTATACGAATACCAGCCCGATGAGAGGAAAGACCTGAAAATATTTTTGAATAAATAATAATAATCAATTTATAATATTTTTTATTGTAGTTAACAAAAAAAAACCAAAAACAAAAGAGTACCTGGTTGAAATCGTCGGTGATGCGGCTGAAGAAGCCGATACCAACGAATACATTTTAATAAGATATGTGATTGAAAAAAAAAAATGCTGACTCTTTTTTTTTTTTTTTTTAGAAAAAGAAAAAAGGATCACGAATAGAAAATCACTTTCATTATCAATATGGCGCGTTATATTAGATTCCTAATGAAGTACTTTCTTCTTCTTCTTCTTTTTTTTTCCTACTTTTACATTACTAAGAAGGTCACGAATGATTATTTTAAGTTAAGACAAAATCTGACAACAAAGTGAGAAATCATTTCGACCGACATATACGACGACAAATAGTATAGGGAGTCTTGTGTATATGTATGTATGCACGCTACACAATCAAAAGAGAGTGAAAGAGAGCGATTGAACTACGACGACAACATTGTTTGCACACGCGTCTCGTCGACGGGTTTTTTTCTTTTTCTTCCGAGCGTAAGAAAAAAAAAAGAAAGATGGTCTCCTCTATGAATGACAAGAGAATCGAAAGAGAAAATGGTTGTTGAGCCTGCACATACGACATTGATGACCTAGCCTTATTCACCATATATATAAGGATCGAGTTGCAGAGAAACAGACATACTATTGACGTTGATCATCGTCTTCCTTTCTTTGTCTCTTTTCTACCCGTTGCTTTTCAATCAGCAACACACGACGATACTTCCTATTTTGTTTGTATGTGCTGTGCTGCGCTTCATTTGATGCCACCATCACCGACGTTCTCCACTCTATAGAATGAGTTCCCTCTCTCTCTCTCTCTCTCTTCGTGTCATTTAGTTTCTATCTACGCACATAAAATATTCAGCACACAAAAAAAAAAAAATAACGGTGATGTAGGCGAACGCACAAAAGTAAAGAGTGAAGAAAAAAAAAACTCAAAATGAGTTATCAGCTGTTAAAGTATAGTAGACATTGTTCTCTATTTAAATTTATATTGAACGCAACAAATGATGTCACCATCTGTTCAATTCATTTCTTTTTCCTATATACACTCCTACTTATATATGCTTTATCTTTATATTTTGAATTTATTGAAAACTAATATTGTAACACGTGTTTCGTCTATATATAAATATTAAGAAGTAAAAATAAAAATGATGTATTCTCATTAATCTATTCAAATATTTGTAGAGAACAAAAAAACAAAAAAGCAGCTTTTTTTTTTGTATTCAATTAGAAATTTTCTATATAACAAAAACGTTTTGTGATTGACAACTCTAATTATACTACAACAACTGTTCTTATTAATATATACATAGATTTTTAAAGATATAATGCAAAAATTTCTATTAACTATTTAAACAAATAAAATAAATAAAAAAAAATCAAAATTTGTAAATTACCTTTAATATTTAAATAGTTTTTTTTTTTTTTTTAAAAAAAAAAAAGTTGACTATAAATATAGACCGTTATCAAATGAATAAAACAGGCACATTAAAATAAAAAATAATTCAATCTAAAAAACAAAAGAAAAAAAAAAACAAAAATCTTCTCTTTATTTATTTTCTTTAGATTAAATTCATTTTGTTGAAATAAATATCTATTCCCGAAAAAGAAAACAAGAAAGATTCTAAAATTTTCTTTTTTGTTCGATTATTCTAAAATATTCGACTGTTCATTTATATTTATGATACAATTTGAAAAACAAAAAAAAAAGAAAAACATTCATTCAATTTCCCTGATTCCCAAATATGACTAAATCGTATATAAGATAGAGATAAATAAACAAGCACAAGCATATAATCTCACTGTTACACATACAAAATAGAACATATATCACTGAAGCACAGAAAAAAAACAATTATAGCAACAACAAAAATCTTTTTTTTTTTTTTTTTTGTTTTTCCTTTTTACCAACCCGTATTTGTACTACTAATCTACAAAAACAAAAATATTTCTAGTAAAAAAAAAAACAACAACAACAACAAGACAATGTATATAGATAGATATATATATATGTTATCGAATATCCGTATCGAATGCATAATGTTGTGAATTTATATATGAATAATTAAATTGTTCATCATCAATAACATTATCATAAAATGATGATGTTCGTCTTAATTTTTCAATTTTATTATCATGTATAAATGATGTTGTTATCATATGTGATATTTGTATATGTTCATCATCATCAATAATATCACTTTTCGAACTTATTGTATCATCATCATTATGTTCATGTTTTTGTTTATAACCACTTATTGATGGATCAGCACTTGATAATATTGTACAACAATCATATTCTGTTAAATATTGTTGATCATTTAATTGAAATGGTTTTGTTAAACGTTTTATTTCAATATATTGATTTTCAATAGATGTATCACGTAATTTTACTATTGATGATAAATCATCATCAGCAGTTGCTAATGGTGCTGTTGATGTAACAAGATAAGTTTCAATAATAGGTATAGGTAGAGATTTTGGTGACATTTCTGTTGTTGTTATAGATGATGAAGCCTTATTTCTATTTGTTATTGTTGTTGTTGTTGTATTAATTGGTTCTAAAATTTTTTGAAAAAGAAAAACTATTTCATAGGAATGTAAAACAAAAAAAAAAAGCAAAAAGTAAATCATTTTGACATAGACTAATGGTTTCAGTCATCTGTTTGATAAATAATTTAAATGAGTCTCAATAGTATACTTTTCGATATTGCCTTTAGCATAATAATTTTGTTAATACACATGTATATAAACTTACTTGTTTCATCTGATATTGTTATATTTTTATTTGTATTATTAGTTAATTTTGTAATATCACCCATAGAAATATTAAATGGTTTTGTTGGTAATTCACTTTCTGTTGGTGATGGTAATGTTAATAAATTATTTTGTTTTAATTTTTCATAACAAACAATATATTCTTCAATAATTTCATCAATTGTTAATGATGAATTAGAAAAATTTTCACATAAATCATTTTTTAAAAATGAATTTATACCATCAAATGTTTTTAAATGTAAAAGTTTTTTTCTATGTATACGTAATATACAAAATGCTGTTGTTAATAAAACTTGTTCACCATCTAATACAAATATATCCCATATACGAAGTGTTAATGGAAATGGAAGACAATCTTAATAAAAAAAAAAAAAAAAAAACAAGCGAATAACAACAACAACAACAAAATTATTTTATTATTATAAATCAATTGAATTTATACGCGTGACTAACTGAGTTAATATTTCAATTTTTTTTTTTGCTATATAACTAACGCCATCTATCGAAATTATAGAAGTAGATATTGGGTAAGATGGTTCCGAAACCAATTTTTACTATTACCGGAAGCGATATTTTCCATGGTCATGCAAAAATTTGCATCAAATGTCTTATTGTCATGACTCGTGTATTCTAAATAGCTATAGGCAAGATGGTTCCGTGACTAAGAACGACTAGTGCGCCGTTCAGATATATATAAGGCTAATGACTTATTATTGTTTGATTTATATGTCGTATGAAGAAGAAGAAGAAGAAGAACAATTGTTAAGTGTTTCTTTATATTACTTATAAACTTTTTTCACTGAGATAAATTCTTAGACAAACAATATGAAATATCAACTATAAAGTTTTATAATTAAATAGTTAATTAGGAAGTAAAATTAATATATAATATTTTAGTTAAGATCGTATTTATCCAGAAGCTATTAATGGCGTTTGTAATATTATTACTAAACTCATATGCAGCTGGTTTCCGTTATATATTATCAAAAGTTGAATAAATATCCTATTTGTAAATATGATTTGTTAATTAGACTTCCTAATTATTTATTTAATTAGAAAACTTTGTTGTTGATAGATCAATTTGTTTTTAGAATTTTTTCTTTAGTAAGATATTCATATCAGTGAAAATAATTTATACAAAGTACCTTTCATATTCGTCATAAAAACATATAACTCATAGAATAATAAATCATTAGTATAATATGTATACTATAATGGATGAAATAACAAAAACAAAAACACATTTTTTCTGTCATGTGGATAATGATAGAGATAAAAATTTTAGATTGATTATATATATATATATATACCGAGATAACACAGCATAAACCAACGAATTGTATATAAATCACTTTGAACTTGATATGTAATAAAATGTTTATAAACTTTAGGTAACATTTTTTTCATAATTTTTTCAAATTGTGCTTGAAAACGAAATAATTTTGGAAAACCAGGACAAAAAAATCCATGCATCATCCAACGTGAACCAGTCATTAATTGACAAAATGCCCAAAATGCTTCTTCTTCAGGTAGATAAAAAAGAAGAAATGCAACAATTTGATTCATACCTTGAGTATAACCTATTTCTGTATTGTACACACTAAAAGAAAAACAAAAAAAAATTCAACTTGCAAACATTCTTATCTATGATGCTAAACAATTGATTTTAGAATCTAAATATGTGTATTATCAGTTTAAGTATCTGTATATGAAATGCAAAATTCCTTTTTTTTTTGTTTATTCTTATTACAAAAAACCAATTAGAATAATCATCAAAAAAATTTGATTCATCAATATATTTTAAATCAATTCTATATGAGTTTTTAATAGATTACCTGTATGCAGCTAATATAGAAAATAAATGTTTTTGTCTTAAACAATATCTATTACAAAACATTTGATGATTTCTATATGTTCGATGTACATCAAGATCAATCTGACTTAAATATGTTGATGATACACGTGCTTTCTTTTTTAATATATCATAATAACCTTTATTAACATGTAATTGTTCATCAAGATCAAATAACCGGGACCAAAATGCACCACGTAATGTACTTGGTAAACCTTTAAACATACGTCGACGTAATTGTTCATTATCTCTTGTTATTGTATGATTTGTTTTTTTTAACATTTTATTCCACCGTTCACTACGTTTTATTTCTTGTTGTATTTGTTTACGTTCATAAATTGTTAATGATTTTATTGGTTGATCATGTATAAAACCATAATGATCTATTGAATTTGGATCTGTTGTTGAAAGACGTGGTGTTTGATGTTGACTTATATCATATATTAAATCATTTAATTTACCTTCATTTTCATAAAGAAGAAAAAGTTTTTCACGTTCATCAATTTGTTTTTTAATATTTTTATCAATATGTGTTAATATAGGTGTTGATGGTCGTAATGGTAATGGTGGTGGATTACTTGTTATTGATGACTGTTTCATTCAAAAAAAAAATCTAGAAATATCAACATTTTTTATTTTTCATATCTGACAAGAATTTTATTTTTTTTTTTTTTTTTTATATGAATAAAAAAAAAACCTAAGGTTTAATCAAATGAACCATCAAGAAATTCATATAATGGATTTGTATTTATTGAACTAAATATATGTAAACGATCTAATCGTTTTGATGCACATTGTTTCATTGAATTATGAGCATCACGTGTTAACATACGAATAAATTCTTCTGTTGCTAATGTTAATACATAAACACTATCTTGACTTATCATACGTGTATTATTATCAAGTTTAATTATTGATTTAACCTTTGTTAATGGTAATTGATATGAACGTATTGATGTCGATTTTATTTGATCATTTGATGAAGTCATTATGATTTTGTTTTTTTTTATATGATTAACAAAAGAATTACTAATAATAAACAATTCTTTTTTTTTTTGTTTTTGTTATGTTGTTGTTTGAGATATGAACCAATGAAAAATAAAAAATTGATTTTATTTAATAAATAATTTAATTTTAATTTTAAAATGATTTTATTTTTTATTTTAAAAAATTTAAAATGATATGTTTTTTTTTCTTTGAATAGATGTCACTAATATGAAAAGATGATTGGTTGAATAAAAAAGATATTTTTTTTTTTCTTTATCAAATATAATAACAACATTTGTCAAGCAACATAAATCATCTTTAATTAATTATACGTAAATTGTTATTATTTAGAAGAAAAAAAAAAGGTTATGAAGTTTATGATTATGATCAGATAATTTTTTTTCTGTTCTTAATGAATTAATCAATTGATGTATTTTGTTTTATTCAATTGACTTTTTTTCTAAACTTATATTATAAATTTAGATGGTTAATAAAATTAATATTTATATTATAATTCTATTTTAGATCGGATAGATTTTAATTGTTAGAACATTTAAATATAAAAAAACATTTCTTTGTAGTGATTTAGTTATGTAAGCTATAGAACGAGAATTTCACTAAAGGAAAAAAAAACAATTTTGTAGAATACAAATATTAACAAGAAAAATTTAAACTAACCTGAATTAACTATTTTCTTTGTAATCAACGTATATAAATAAAATTCTAAACGGTATATTATAATATTTTCTATATATATATACCATTAAAATGTACAATAACGAGGTTGTTTTATATGATATATATTGAAAATAAGACACAAGAAGAAAAATGTTACCTTTTTTTTTCGTTCGATTAGTAATACTTATTTATAATAACATCGATGATAAGAGAAATACCTAGGTTTGTTTTTTTTTTGTTTTTCATTATGTAATTACCGAAAGAGAGAGAGCCTGCAGAATAGAAGAAAAAGAAAAGTCAAGTATTCTAAAATTAGAGAATCAGTTATATTTATTACTTTTCCATTTAAAAATTCATTTAACCATTTTGTAAACAAAATGTTTATTGTATTGAATAAAATGTACTGTATATACTCTATTTTTTGTTTGAGCGATGTGTGAAACAACATGTATGTCGTCGAGAGCAGCAGATGTTCTTCTATACATTTTGTCGCTGCTTAGTAGACTTGACATTAAAAAAAAAAATATTGTTCGTAATTCTGGTAAGCTTTTGTTTTTATTGTGAGTTTTGTTTTTTTTTCCCTATAGAAGAAATTGAAAATTACTTGTTAATCTAATGAAGATTTCCGAAAATTTTGCATGCAATGTTGCTAATAAAAAAAAAAAGCTAGATTAACAAGGAAAATATTCAGAAGTTATTTTGTCTAAGCTAATGATGAATAAAAAAACCAAAAAAAAGAACAATAGTCCGATATAAAAATTGTAATCAATAGATTTTTTATCTTTTATTTTTTTTTTATTGTTTTGGGTAGTTAGAAATGAATATTCATCAAAAAATATTTCTGATTGTTATTATAATTTTATTTGACACACTATGGAAATCAGGTTGATGTGAGCTATTTATAGATTATAAGATATAGCATTGATTTTATTTCCGATAATTATCGAAAAATTATTTTGATGAAATTAATTTCATGTTTTTTCTTAATTTCTAGTTTGAAGATAGATACGCCAAAAATTATATTTCTTTGTCAACGATGACAAGTATATTTCAAAGAATAAGTAAAAAAAAAAAGACCGGAAACAAGTAACTTCCTATTTATTTTCGATTAGTAATATGTTAGCTATTTAAACCAAAGACAAATATTAATTACGCATTATTTTCAACTAGTCAAAAAAAAGAAGAACCAAATGTTCTATGTTATTCATCGAATATCAAACATTAATTTGTTTTTTTTTTCTCTTAGATATGTCTTTTGTATTATTAACGGCAAATAGATATTATTTTAAATTTCCACTATATTCATTATATCGTCATTTATCAATAATTGAATATCGTACTAATGATCAATTAATATTAACAATTGATCATATAAATTTACCATCAAATTCTATACAAACAAATGAATGGAATTTTTTTCCAAATCAATTTTATCAAAAACGTTATATAACTTTACAGGTACCATCAACAAATCAACAAAAATCATCATCAAATAGTAATGATAGAAAACCATTTCAATTTCCACCAGGAAATCCAAATGATAAACCAAAACTTGAACATTTACGTTATATTGAAAATCAACTTATACAAATTGTAAATATTTTATTAATTAATACTATAGATTTATTCTTTGTTTTTCTTTTCTTTTTTTTTTTTTTTTATTGAAGAATTTTTTTGTTTTTAGTTACCTGATTTTTGTAAACGAATGCATCCATATGCTTTATATACAGCTGATATTATTTTTGAAAATTATTATGACGATCCACCCAAAATTATGAAGTAGGCAGAGAAAAAAAAAGGGTATTAGACAATGTATGTGTGATTTTAGATAGACGTATGACAGTTTAAATAGGATTTAGACTAAATATATGATTAATCAATGAAATATTTTTACTAAGTTACTTATTGATTAAATTAAAAATATAATCACGATTTATAAATATCAATTTGATTTTTAAAACTAACAAACACTAACGATAAAAAAAACAAAAACTCCTAAATAGTCAATCTTTTATTGTCTAAAACTGATCTAATACTGTCATATTTCTATCGTTTAGAATAAAAAAATATAATAGATTTTTAATTTTCTTTTTCTTTTTTTTATTCTAGAGGTGCTGGTAGTTATGCTTTAGCTCTTTTTTGGATTCGAACAAAATTAAATTTTAAATTAATGAATATAACAATTCATTTACTGAAAACAACAATTGATGAAGAATCAAATTGTGTTAAAATACGTTGGCGTATATCTGGTTTATCAAATAAATCATTTATTGGTATTCTTAAAGGTTGGAGAAAACCAAAAGATGTTGCAGGAAATATGCGTGATTATATAGAGTAAAATATTTATTGATTTATTTCTTACAAAAAGAAAAGAAAATTCTTATCGAAAAATTTTTTTTTTTTTATAATAGATATATTGATGGTCTGTCAATATTTTATGTTCGTGGTGATGGTCGTATTTATAAACATCGAGTTGATCGAGTAATATAATCAAATTTTACTTTTTTTTTTGTTTAATTTGTAATATTTTATTCTATTATATAAAGATTATGGTCGATGAAGATAAAGAACTAGCTACATCACTACTAAATAAAAAGAAACTAGCTACAACGGCACCAATATCTGTGTAGTATATCTTAAAATTGTTCTTCTTCTTGTTTTTTTTTATTTGTTTATTAAAAAACCTACTAGAAAAATTCATCACTGATGCTTCTTTTATTCTGTGACTAAATGACAAAAAAAAAAAAAAAAACTAAAACAACGAACATCTTTTTTCATTTGTAGATTAAAAAGTATATTCTTCAAAAACGGGTAAGTTACACTTTCCTATTAATGATTCTTCTTTTCTTAAGATTAATGTGACAAAAAAAACAAACAAAACAAAATGAGTGTTGTTTTCTTTCTTTAACATTCTCTTCAATTTTATTATGCCATATGAAATACCGAAGGGTTCTTTTTCCCTTTACAAAAAAAAAAAAAATATTTTTTTGGTATTGTATTGTGCCAGAAGACACAATAGTTGATTCATGTGTTTCCTTTACTAATAATTGATTGGCATAGCACATACTCATAAAGAAAAAATGTTCTAGATCGAAATTATATTAAGTTTTTTTTTTCTTTTGTCTCCTCGTTATAGTCTTATTTAATGTTATTAGGATATTTGAAATAATATTAAAAAAACTATGGCAACACCGCGTGCTCAACATTCGGCACGTAATCTAAAAGATGATATTAAAAATAGTATGCGTAAAACAACACGATCAAAAGAACGAAATGCATCTCACATGCCACCACTACCTAGATCTATCGGTAGGATCAATTGTGTTCTTTTTTATTGAAAACTATTAATAATAATGCTTCTAAAGCTTATCTCGATACATACTCCTTTTTTTTTTTTGTCACAGTATGTCCATTAATATATTAATACATATCTATTTAGTTAATGTTGATTTATAATATAGTACAACTGATATTGATTAGTGACCTATTAAGTCTCTTGTGGTATGCTTTGGACGAAATAGGAAGAAAAGAAAGAGAAAGAAAATGTTCTCTTTTTTTCGAATGTTTCTTCTATATATATATATATTTTTCTTTTTTTTTGCTTTTTACGCTATCTCAATCGACTTACTTGTATGTAATGTATGCAGGCATTATTCTTCTTGTTTTCATCGTAGTTCGTTGTCTGTTGATTCTTTTCTATTTTTTTTTCTTTTACTTGTTCTTTTATTCTTTCGTTGCTGATAATTATCTTAATTGTAATGCCACAACGTATGCGCAAAATTGTTTCAAAATGTCGACCACCATTTGTTAGACTACATCGATATCGACATTCAATTGATGCTACTACTACTGATCAGTGTATGTGTGAAAGTAAATATTTTCTTTATTTGCTGCTTAGTTGGTTTTTTTTTATTCTATTCATTTTTGAAATATAATCTTGACTAATCAAAAGTATTTATATATATATAATTAGAAATCAGTTATATCTAATCTTTTTTCATTATGAAAAATTATATAAATATTTATTATATGACTTTTTTTTTTCTATTTGCTGTACTTATATGACTCTATTTTCATTATCTGTACCTTTTCAGCAGGTACTTTTCTACTATTATTCTTGTTATTTATGCATGTATGCGTTCGTTTTTTCACTTATACTCTAATCGTGATCAATATTCGTTTGTTTATCAACGACGTACTCTATTACAAGTAGTTTCTATATAATAATTCAAGCATAATATATATGATGACAATCATTATTAAGAGAAAAGAAAGAACAACAACATAATAGATAGTACAGAAAGAAAAGAAAAGAAAAAAAAAAAGCTTGTCTTACTTAAAATACTTGCTCGTCAATAGTAACAACATACTATCTGCTTGAATGCATGTAACACTGCTTTGTGAAATAATTAAAAAATAAAAAACAAAAATCTAAAATAAAAACAAACTAACATTTTCTTATTTTTCATTTCAATATATATTTTATATATTAAATCTATTTTTTTTCAGATCCAAACGACAAAACTACTATATCTAGTTCTCAACCAAATGTTATCGGTAGTATTAAAAGATCGGGGAATTCTTATCCAACAATATCAACACTAACATCTCTAATTATTGCTTCCCCTTCCGCAGCTGATAATTCTCAACTAAATAATTTAACAGAAAGGGAATTTGGTAAATTCAAAATAACAAAAATAACAAAAATTACATTTTATTTATTTTATTTTTTATTATTAATAGGTAAACCACCAAAATTTGTATCATCATCATACGATTCAAAAATGTCAAATACATTTCTTTCATCATCGCTACAAAATTTAGCAAATGCTAATCCAGTTGCTACTGGTATTGTACCACCATCTGGTCAATTTCAACAACCATTAAATATGCAATCAACAACACCATCAGTTGCAAATGGTAAAGATGATATGCGTGGATGGTTATATAAATGGACAAATGTAAAGAAATTTTCTTTTTTTTTTTTTCTAAATATAAAATTAAATATTTTCTCTTTTTCTTTTATTTTTTTAGTATTTAAAAGGTTATCAAAAACGTTGGTTTGTATTACAAGCTGGTGTACTTTCATATTATCGTTCACAAGATGAAATGACACATACATGTCGTGGTACAGTTTATCTTGTATCAGCACATTTATCATCAAATGATGCATGTCATTTTGTTATATCAAATGGTTCAACTGTTTTACATTTACGTACATCAACTGAAACTGATAAACAACGTTGGATGAGTGCATTAGAATTAGCTAAACAAAAAGCATTAAAAGGACGAAAACAATATCAAGATTCTGATGAAGAAGTTTCAATAATTGATGATTCAAATGATCAACAACAAAATCAATTACAACAACAACAACAACAACAACAAGAAGGTAATATAAATGATCAAACAAAAATATCAACAAATACAAATGAACGTGCTGAATTAGTAACAATGAATAAAACATTTGATACAAAATTAGATGATCTTAAAATGTGTATGGATTTAATAAATCGTCATTATCAAGCACTTTGTCGTACACTTGGTGAACTTGAACAAATTGATAAAACAGAAGCAACAATAAATATAACTAAAAGTGTTAATGAACGTGCTACTTTATTTCGTATTACATCAACAGGTAAATTAATTATCATTATTAACCTAAATATATATTCAAGGGTTTCGAAAAGAAAAACAATGTATCCCAATAGCTAAAATTAACGACATAGCTAAATTTTTTCGAGCAGGTTTCTATTAGTTTCATATTTACACCAAAAATTCATAGTTTGTTATACATAGCATCCAGAAAGTTTTTGTCTTAAACAATGAAAATATATTTTGAAAAAAGTGTCTTATATATAGAGTCTGACAGGCTTCACCTATCTATTCTTACGTGACTCGAAAGAAATTTTCTTATGATGATTTATTTCGCTATCATTTCTGATTTAATTCAAATTTTAAGAAGTCAAAGATATTTTCACTTTCAAACTATCGTAACAGTTAGCTACACATGACGAAAGAAATGATAACGAGATATGTATTAGTGTCTGGTTCAGGTCAAACAGACCTTGAATTGGGTCGGGTCACGAAAAAAATAGTTGACCTTGGATCAAATTGGGTCACAAAAATTCGACCGATGTTGAACACTGATATGTATTATAAAAATGAATCAATAATGAAACTATCTCAATGAAATAAAAATCTAAAGACATTTTCATTTTTAATTGACTCGATTTAATGTTCTGTTCAAATATTTCTTTGTTACTATGTACATAATGAAAAACATTTAAGATATTCAATAGAAAATTTTTTTGTAATTTAACGTATTTTATATCATTTTCTATCCTACCAAAAAAACAAAGGTCAACTTAAGATGAATTGTTTAGTTTTTTCTCACATATTAAATAAGAAAAATTTTCAAATCAATATTTCCTATGTCCAGATAGATAAACAGGAGTAACTTCTCCCATATTGAAAAACTTTTATCTTTTCTCAGGAGTTGCAAGTCCTCATTTTTTCGAGCCCGAGCCCGTAGCTTCCTACTCTCTTCCAATTCTAGCAGCCACCGGACACTCCTCTTATAAGAAATAGCCTTTTTTTTTTCTTTTTCATATATTCAACTTTGTTTTGTCCTCAAAAATGATCGAATTAAAAAATTTGAAATTCTTATTATTTTTAGCTATGCTTAATGCTTCTCAAGAACTTGTACAATTAATACAAAATCAAGGTCGTAAATGGCAAAAAGCTATTCAATTTGAACGTGATGCACGTTTACGTATGGAACGTATGTGTGAACAAGTTGCATCACAAACTGTTAAATTAGAAAAACAAATGCAACGTGCATCACGTATTGAAAACAAAAATCTTATTTCCGGTCGTTCAACATTAGCAGCAATGAGATCATCAGATTTACGTGGATCAATTGATGCAAGTAATTTATCTGATGATGATGAATTTTATGATGCTATTGATGATCCACAAACAATTGGTGTTTTTCGTATTCCGTAAATTTTATTAAAGACTCTTTATATAGATATGTATTTTAATTTTTGATAGACTTCAACAACATATTTCAACTAATGATAAAGAATTACCAAATATTGTTGATGATAATGCAAGTTCAAATGATGAAGATGAAAGTGGATTAGAAGAGCAAGATGAAAATGATTTACCAATGGTTATTGTCAAAGGTATAATGTTGTTCTAATATAAGAAAAGCAATGATGTTTTTAATTTATACATTATAAATATTATATTTTTGTTTTGTTTTGTGTTTTTTTGTATTTAGCACCGAATACAGTAGCTACAACAGAAAACAACGCAAATCAATCCGTACAAAAACTTGTAAATAATAATCAACAACAAGTAGCTATATCAAAACGTAAACGTCGTGATCGTATACCTGAACGACCAAATTATAGGTTAATATATTTTTAAAACTTTTTTTCTTATTAAAATAAATATGATTGAAAAAAAAAATTTTTTTTTTTATTTTTTCTTTAGTGTTAATTTATGGAGTATAATGAAAAATTGTGTTGGAAAAGATTTATCAAAAATTCCTATACCAGTTAATTTTAGTGAACCAATATCAATGTTACAACGTATAACAGAAGAACTTGAATATAGTTCT